TTTAAGCTTTGTAACTTTGCAGATCTTTTTTTATGCTCAAACAGCAACATTACAGACTAGCTAAAGTTGAAAAAGTGAAAAAGCATAATAGGACCCCTTTAAAATTAATTAATGCATTAAATAATGTTAACTAATGTGTTATCTTTGTTAGTGTAAAAATTCCTTTAAAATCGTTAATTGTTAATACTTCCGTCTGCTTCACAGATGGTCAAGATAAATAAGCGAGTTCTTACTCGATCCCGTCTGTTTGCCGCATCTGTGTGTTTCCAAACATCTGCTGATGTCATGTCTTCACTCAGGTCATCTGTACTGTAGATGGCTCTCAGTAGAGCTCTTTCACACTCGCTTTCGGAGCAGCCTGTGAACCGCTGACAGTGATGGTATATAATTAAACCCACCATACGGAAACCACACACAGGGGTCATATTACAGATCCAGCTCATTAGTTTTTAAAACTGAGAGTTAAAAACAGCCAGGCATAATATTTAATTAAAATTCAAACTATATTTGTACATTTTCCAAAGAAAGTGTGAGTGGTGTTTGCCCATGCAAAACACTTTCCATAATGCTACTCTCCTAAAAATAACAATTCTTAATTGGCATCTATGGTTCTGTTAAGAACATTTTACATCCATAGAGCCTTTCCACTGCAGATCATTTAAACATTTAAACAATGGTTCTTTTAAGAACTTTTAAAGTTCCGAAAGGTTCTCTGGGGAATCAAAATGGTTCTTCTATGGCATTGCATATGTAATTACATCAGCAGATTCGGCACGTTCGCGATAGAAAAGTGGCGCTTTATTTTATTACAACTGTGAAATTACAAACAAAAAATACACATTCTGAGACATGAACTGAAATTAATTGTGAATGTTATTAACATTAAATCGTCCTCCTCCCATTTTCACCACAAAATTATGGGGAAGCTGTGCCTCCCCTGCCTCCCCCGACGAGCCGCCACTGTAAGACACCATTTAGTTGAAAGCTCCCAATGCTGTCTCTGTTGAATAAAAGACTCTTTGAAGTCTTTACTTTATTATTCTTACAGCACGTGTACATACAGAGATATTAAAGTATAAATACTTCAACTAAATTGGTACTTGTGGGAGTAGTTGATGTGACAAATTGCCTACGAGTTCACGTCCTCTGAGGAAAAAGGCCATGTTATGTGCAGAACGGTTTCAACCATGTTGTATACTCTTTCCTGAAGCGATATATAGTAAAAAATATAATAATACAATTATTTAAAATATAAGTTATTTGCTCTCTTTTAAACTGCAAAGTCCATGCAAAAAATGATCTGATTGCATCAGCAGCATTATGCACTTAGAAGACGTGTTCTGGAAGGGAATTTTATTAAGAAGTGAGAGTTTTTGCTAGCGGCAAAAATCCTGGTTAATCATTTTACTCACAGGAATGGGGAATTCAAGGTCATGAGCAATTGCATGCAAATATGATGTCCTTCGCTTCACTTGATCAGCCAGTGCCGTCACCTCGTGCAGATCATCTTAAGAGAGACATTAAAATATATTTAAAATATATTTAAGGAACTGACCATGTTTTGTGCAACTGCTTTGTGTTTGCTCACCGTTAACTGTAAACAGAAACAGGACCGTGTCATTTTGACTCGACTAGATAAGATGGTGTCCACAAAATCCTTGTGGCCAGTTACAAATTTTGGCCCCTTGAAATAGTTGTTATATTAATAGCCGTTCATAAATGTTATAATAAGAAAAATGTAAATAAATATATAAGGTATTGTGGATAGAGGATAGTTTTGCAGATGCAAAAGAGGTTTGGAATAATATGAGAATGAGTAAATGATGATAAAATCTTTGATTTTTTTTTTAATGAATTGTCACTTTATATTGTTAAATGAATGACGTTGAGCTCACCAAAGATGATAGATCCCCCTCTTTGTTTCTCATTTTGCTGAAACCAGTGTTGATAAAACCTCTGATGTCATCAAAATTTGATAAAATAATTACAATTAAAAAGTAGTTTTGGGTTGAAACATTTCCCATAAATGTATTCTTGCACTGTTATTAATTTACCCATTAACAAACTGTCAAATTAACACATTTAAAGAACATATCAAATGATAAAATCATATTTGGCACTGCACGCAGAACTTGCTCCATATGTTGGGATGCATTCACTTGCATCAAACTCTAACTCTAGCACTCTCTAACCTAATTCTATTCTTAAAAAAAAAAAATCTTGTCCCTTTTAGACTTGCTGTTTGTTTTCTTAAAAAAAAAACTAACACTTGCTTTCTATGTTTTCTTTTCATTTATTATACAATTAACAAAAGCAAAAAAGACCTCTAACACTAGCTTGCTCTATTCTTTTTCTATTCTATCTGTTTTCTTTTTATTTATTATATTATTAAAAAAAAAAAAAACTTTCTACGTGTACTGCGTTAAGCTAACTGAGACTTGTCATAGCACTTACATATCATTGCTCTCTTGTTGATTTTGATTGCTTCCATTGTCCTCATTTGTAAGTCGCTTTGGATTAAAGCGTCTGCTAAATGACTAAATGTAAATGTAAATGCATCAGTCAGTCCTATAATGCCAAGAGTTTGCCAACCAGTATAGTACACATGTGCTTTATTCTGAAGGCTGTTGAAAGATTTACAAAAAATGTAATCATAAGTGTGTCAAAACCTCCATTACCAAGCAATTTCTGCATTTTTTAACACATGCACCAGAAGTTCAGCTTGTTCATGTGGGAAAGCTCAGGTTTATGTGTTAGGAGATGCTAAAGTAGTGAAATGTTGTATCTCTCTCCTGCTTTATGAATAAGTGCTGCTAGCTCATCACTGTTTGAGGAAGTAGTTTCATAAACCATCTCACTCGCGGTGATCTGGGCAGAAATACCTCTGAATGACACAGTTAATCATAGTAGAGAGAGAGAGAGTAGTGTTATATATGTAAAATAAATACATATCAGTCCCACCAGGAATTCATAATTTTTTATTTATTTATTTTTGTGATCAAAATAACTGATTTTGTGGTGGTAATTTCTATAATTTTGTGGAAAATTTGCTGTTTTTTTTTTTTCATTTCCATTAGTGCTGTCACTCGATTAAACAAAAATTAACTAATTAATCGCACATTTTTCTGAAATTAATCGCGATTAATTGCGATTAATCCTACCTAACATTAACGTTTTAAAATATACTTTTATATTGCAATAATTTCACATTCAATCTTCAAATTAATACAAACAACATAGAGACAATATATATTTTTATATTTGCTTAATGGCATCTTTTTTTAATGACTGAAGGCCAGTATCAATGATACCAATACTGATTTCTCTATAAAATTACATTTTTAACCATTGACTATAGCCATTCAACATTACAGTATAATTGAGAGCTGTCAATTTTAACGTTTATTAGACTTTAAAAATAACTTCTAATTTAAGTGAACTATCTTCACATAAACCCATTATAATAAATATCATATTTACCTGTGCCCTTCAGCAGAAATATACAGAAATTGAAACTGAAGTTATCAAACACTAAATTCTAAATTAAATATAGATGAGTCCTTAAAGCTATAAAAGTTATTTTTTCCTCTTTTTTTTCTTTGTCATTTGATTAATAGACATCACAGCAGCTGGTTATTAGGTTATTTTGGCTGTTATTTCTTTAGGAGCTGCCGCTGCTGAACGTGACGCGGATCTGACACGCATCATATTTTCTCTCAACTCTTTTTACCTTTTCTGACCCACTTCAGGTCTTAAAGTCTCTATTAATGAGCTGACGAGTTAAATCGGGTGTGTTAGATGAGTGAGACAGTGCTGGGCTGCTCCAGGACAGTTTTGAAAACCATTTCAGAGACATGTTCTTAAATGTGACTCATATAAAATATATTACATGCATGCACAGTTTTAAGGCAGCTTTAATCGCCTTTTTGGTAACTTCATTATTTAACTGACCACAACATTGCATGCATGTATTTTATTTTGCGCTTTGATATGAAATGATATTTCACGCGCCGGTGCCTTCTATTATAGTATATCAGTATTCTGTTATGATCAATAATCAAAGCCGTATTCTATTCTTTTATGGTATATCAGTATTCTGTCATGGTATAATCTGTTGTCAAAGTTGTATTCGTTCTATTATATTCCATCATAGTAAATCAGTATTTTATTATGGTATGATCAGCAGTCAAATTGCATTTATTTATTTATTTATTGGTGATCAAAATGACTGATTTTGTGGTGGTAATTTCCATACGTTTTTGGAAAATTTGCAATGTTGTTTTTGTTTAATTTCCATATTTTGTGGCAAATTTGCAATGTTATTTTTATAATTAGGATATCAACAGGACAATTATAGAAATAAAATAAAAAGTGCTTTCAGTTTTTCAGGTAGGTTTAGTATTCAGTTACAAAATACTACAGAAATGTGTGTATGTGTATATATGAATTTTAATGCAGTTCATGTTTAGTTGTACAGTACATATATTATCATACTATTTGGATCCAATTAAACCTCAAATTAGATTAGAAAATATACCAAGTGGAATTAAAACTTACTCAGGTGTTATCTTTCCTCTAAATGCAGCTTCATGTCCAGCCAGAAGAATAGTTTCCAGAATGATTTTAGTTGCACTGCCTCCTTTCATCCGGGACGATCCGCTGATGGCCTCAGCCTATATGAGAAGAGACCAGAGCTTCTTATGATGGGTGGACACTCCATAAACATCAGTAAGAATTTTGACATTTTGTGCAGACATTATTATAGAGTGTCCTGGGTGCCTGCCAGTGGTTACTATGGTGGTTGCCAAGGTGTTCAGAGCAGTTGGTGGTGTGTTGCACGTGCACAGATGTGTTTATGTCAATGCAGTGTCTCATACTCCCAATACAGGATTCAGGAGGAGTGCTTTCTTAGGCCTCTGCTCTGCAGTCATCCTCTCTGCAACGTCTTTAAAGTGAAATGAACAGTCCTGCATTGGTTCACTCCTGTCAGCATGGCAAGAATGTTAGTATATGCAATCTCCTCTTGTTATTATTCACTTGAAATCAAAATATGAGAGTGTGTAATATGCAGAAAGGCATTGTTTGCACTCGGTAGATCTACCTCGCCATATGTACAGCATTGAATCCCAGAAGCACTGGAGTAAAGACGTCTAAGTGCTTCAGACAAAAATCATGTTGCCCAGCAACAAATGGTGCCTTTGACACAGAACAACATCATGAAGTGCATTCACAGCTGACCCGCAGACGGCTTTGATAAGAGCTCGCGTTAATGCTACCTACATATGTCTGAAAGAAATCAAATAAAAATGGCAGACATTTCCTACAGTACACTCAAATAAAGGTGGAAAAGCTGCCAGTGTGGCAATACCTTTTGAAAGGTACACCATTTGTACCTCATTTACCCCAAAAAGGTGCCTTTTAGTACCTTAAATGTTCATATTTGTACCAAAAATGTACATTTTTGTAAAGGTACCATCAGTGACAGCTTTTGTGCCTTTTTCAGTGGTTCAGTGGTCACAATACAGTATAATTAAAATCACACTTGTTATTATCTATGAAGTAAAAAATGGGGACAACACATTTTTGTATGCTTTTGTTTTTATTTGTTGTGGGCTTCATATATTATTATTATTATTTAATTAATAATTATTATGATGTTTGCAGTTTTAAATTGACCCTAACTGTTTTTAATACAATTAATCGAAAATCACACTATGAAAAATAGTAAAAAGTAGTCAATGCATATAGAAAACAGATCTAAATAGTATAATATTATAACACAATTCCCCAAATAAATGTGAGAACTTAATATAAATAAAACTGTAACATGTTTTTTATTTAGTTTTTTTATATATCTATTTTAAATTGAACAAACATATTTTTTTATTTTTATAATTGTATTTAATATTTAATTTTCACAAACTGTGACTATGCTGCATGCAGTAATTACATTTTTTCAATATTTTTTTATGCATGTTATTTTGTGTTTTTGCTTTTGAAGGCTTTGTTGTTCCAAATGTTTTTGTATGTGAAATGTGAAGTTGAAAAACCAGGACTGTTCTTGGAAAAGTGGGACGTCTGGTCACCCTAAAATAGAGACTTAACCCAAAACTATTACATTTTTAGTTATAATTAATTAAATTAATCTACAAATGCTTATTTAAATTTATATTGTCACAACTTTTGTCCTTTACTATTGATTAAATAATGTGATTTGAGAAAAAGACAATAGTGTTATTCATACCGACATGCCACAGGATATTCCAATGAACAGGACACGCTTCTTTCCTGCACAAACCTGTTAGTGGAAAAAGAAAACAGGAAATGGAGAAAAAATTGTTTACATTTGTCAAGCTGAATGTTCTTTAAATAGTGTTTTTGTTAAAGAAAGCATAATTATTAATATCATTACTCAAATATCTAAATATGTAATATCTAAATTTCTAAGCGTTCTTTACCTCACTTGATTTTCAAATGATAAAATGGGTGAAAATCCCACAGACTTATAATTAAGGAGGGACCTGAGCCATATCTAAGGATATGGGGTGACTTGTTGACCAATATTGACTTGGGCCTATAAGCAACACCCGAGCAAGTGTGTGTTAAAAAATCATTTCAAACACTTTAGTAATGACATAGCAACAACCTGGCAACTGCCCAGAGCTCTCTGGCACTTCTAGGTGTTGCTCACATGTTCTTCTGAAAATGTCAAAGAATAGCCTGTTGTCTCTGCCTAGGTTGGTGAAACTGATTTATTACTACGGTAAAGCCGCATAACTTGTTTCACTCTTTGTTCTTGCGTTCACCTTGTCCAGCGTGCGAGCTCCCAGCGCTGGGTCATCCTCTGGAGCCTCCTGTGATGTCAGCAGGGCCCTTTAAAAACAGAGTCCAGAAATACTGCAGTGTCACACTGGAGTCTCATCTTATGCATCAAACAGACAGACTGTTTATTCACCTGTCACCTCCAGCTATGATGTACGAACAGATCTGCTTCTGTTTTTGGGCATTCAACATCTCATTAAAGGATGTCTGAGGTACGAAATATAATATGACAAATATAAAGAAGAAATTTAACAGTCATACAGAACACAGTGGGGAAAATGTCAGATAGGTAAATATACAGTGGTTTCTAATTTAATTTTCCTTTTTTTTTTTTTTTTTTAATTGATAAATCTTTCTTAAACTCCATACCACCAAAAGATATGCAATACGGCCTGATGTTCCACAGTCACTTAATACAATCAAACTCTCCTCTGGGTCCTGCAGAGACAGAACAATTATCATCATGTTTTTAGACTTTTTTTTTTTTTTGAGAATTATTGTGTTTTTGACTTTTTAAAATGTATTTAATTTCTTTGAATGAAATGCATTATTTGAAATTAGAGTTATTATTAAAATAAAAAAGGTTGTCATTTAAAAATAATATTACATTCAAATATATAACTGTAATTTTATATATACTTGCTAGATATGTTAAATGCTGTATGTAAAGTAAAATAATTAAATAAATAAAAATTAACATAAATATTCAATTGTATATATGTCTGAACTTAAACCATTATTTCTGAGTTATTAAAATAAAGGACTTCTAGTTGATATTACTGACCCTCAGCATAATTTCCACCCTCTTTGCAACATCCACCATCGTTTGGATGACTGGTGAACTATATAGTCTCTTCTCTATAAACAAAATGCACAGGTCATTAGCACAGAAGACTCTTGTTAGGAGCATAATGACAATTAATAGTTACATATCCTTTTTAAAATCAATAGGCCAAACCTGATGAAATGGATCATGATTTATTTTCTTCTCAAAAATCTCAGCGTCACATCTTCTCAGTATTTGCACCATCTGTTTGCCATTTGCTCTGTCAATATCTCTGCTGATGGGGTTGCATTTCTTCGTAACGGGTAGAGAGAGCTCGTAACACAACTGCCTCGTTAGACAGAAAACCCAGCACTTAAGATTAACAGCACCACTCAAGAACTCCTGTAATTACATTTTAGCTTGCAAGGGAAGAAGATTTGTTGGTCTATTACCAGCTACAGGACATTTGAAATGAAAGCACATCCAGTTAACAGTGTTCAGTTTTCACTCACCTTCATGTGATCCATGTTCATCAGACTCCAGCGTTTCAGCGCATATTCTGATTAGTGCAACATACTCTGATTCGTAAACATGCATCGCTTGAGAGAGAAAAAGCCCCCACTAAGCACAAAGTGAGCAGAACAAAGTTCACAAAATGAACTCTGACCCATCAGCTGTAAAAAAAAAAATAAAATAAAAAAAATAAATAACCAAATGAACTTTGACCCATCAGCTGTAAAAAAAAAAGTGTCCCCTCTTAAAAATTGATATGGACACACAGTAGAATGTTTGGTTTATATTACAACTATATTTGCCAGGACATATGGATCAGTAGTTAAAGCAGTGTTCTACTCTATTTTATTATGGTATATATTCTAATTATATTCTACTCTATTCTGCTGTATAATGGTATAAAGCAGTATTCTATTTTATAATGATATATCAGTATTCTGTTATGATCAGTTGTAAAAGCAGTATTCTAATCTATTCTATTCTATGGTATAATCTGTAGTCAAAGCAGTATTCTATTCTGTTCTATTTCATTATGTTGTATTCTATTCCATTCTACTCTGTTCTGTTCTGTTGTGATATAAAGCAGTTTTCTATGGTATATCAGTATTCTGTTATGATCATTTTTCAAAGCCATATTCTATTTTATTTTATTATGGTATATCAGTATTCTATTATGATCAGTAGTCAAAGCAGTATTCTATTCTATGCTATAATCTGTAGTCAAAACAGTATTCTATTCTATTATGGTATGACCAGTAGTCAAAGCAGTATTCTATTCTATTCTGTTCTATTCTATTCTATTCTGTCATGTCAGTATTCTATTACATAATAGTTTTTAGGATGAACAGAGTTTTAGATAGTTTCCATATAATTGTCTAGATCAACTCTGAATAAAGAAAAGAGCGGTTTAGAGACCGATATTTGTTTATGCATGTGAAATTTAGCTAGCAGAAAACAGATGAAATTATTATATTTTGCTATATTCTCTTTCGAGTATTCAAACAATTCAAGAAAACATCTTAAATGCTGCTGTAATGTTTTTGGTTTTACATAATCAAAATTGTGTATTTTTTTTCAATATTATGTTTGATCTAATTAGAAATTATTAAAATTATACGTAGCTTCATTTTGAGTGTATTCTGCTCTATCTGAAATTACATTCTTAATGTAATATTATTATCCCGGTATTCCTTTATTTAATTAGCTACCAAATTCCATTCTATTACATTACATTATATTCTCACTTCTTATCTAATGTGAAACTCTTAAGCATTTTGAATAATTTATTATCGCAGTATTATATAAAGACTATTTTTTTCATAGATGTGATGTGTTCTGATATGATTTATTTTATTCCATTCTTCCCACAGTTCTGTGCCGTTGTATTATATGTCTTTTATGATGTTTGCAGTGGACTGTCGATGTGCAAGTTTGAATGGCGTCATAAATATCGTCCAACAGGGTGTTTTTGGAGAGGTGGCGGCTGTACCGCATTCATGCCGGTGCAGGTTCGTGCGTCATGCGGCCACAGAAGGTGAATGAGAGTGACTGACTGACTGCTGAGAATCAGTCAGTAACTGGCCACCTGTGGGTCATGTGCCTGCGATGCAGCGCCGCTGATTGATTGGTATTCTTAAAGCGTTTTACACGAGCGCACGAAGTGAGGAAGGCGAGCGCGAGTTTTGCGATGGACGCCACGCGTTTACGCGTTACATTAGACGCGCGGCGAGCGGATGTACCTGGTGGCGAGGCTGGCGTTCCTTTGTAGTATCGATGAAAGGACGTGAAAAGTGTGATTTCGCTCTCAAATTGTCGCGAAAGGAAGCGTCTTCCTCGCTCTTTGCGGATTCGGATGGCAACAGATTGAGGCGCATTGGACTCCAGACTGAGAGGATGCTGAGGATGATGCTGGCTTAGATTGTTTATCATCTTCGTAATCACAATGTACAAGTGTTGCAAACGAATGCGCTCTTGATAACCATGTAATAGCTGGAGGAATGTTTAGTTCAGGTTACTTTTCCGTGGAAATCGGCGTCGCTCATCTGGATTAACTCTTCAAGAAGATATGATTCACCTAGTCACTTTTATGAGCCTCGTCCTGTCTCTGTTTGGATGCCACATCTGCTTTGCAGGGGCGAGTAAGTCAACTTATTTTGTCTCTATGTCATACAGTTTGACTCATAATAAAGATAAAACGCAGCGTGTATCTCTTTATGCTTGTTGGTCACCATGACTACAGGCAAGCATAAGAGACGACTGTTATGTAACGCTTTAATTGTTTTTAATATAAGCACTCCCGGAGCCAGCGGAGGAAGACATTAAGGAAATTGCTTTTACTCTGTTAGTCGTTGTCTTTGATTTAATGGCCCATAGATATTGCTGAGGGAATGACCTGAGCCAGAGCTGTGACAGAGTGTAAGAAGTGCCAGTGCAATAGGTAAAAATGATGGATTATATGTTCAAAAGGGAAATATGGTCTCAAACTACTGCTTTCTTGTATTACACATGATTTCATTAGGTTCATCTGTGATTTTTTTTGCTACTTTACACTAATATATAACATTCATTTATGAAATGTCTGTGCATTTTGCTCACTCTTCAATGCACGCAAAGTCATTTAAACTACTGCCAAACCTGTAATTACATCAAACTCCACAGTTAATTGAAAGACTGGCGTCTCTCTCAGTGCACTTATTCTTAATTAGCCTGTTTTACCAGAAACCATGCACAATGATGTATGTTCATCTACACTGTAAAAAAAAATCTGTAAAAATTACGGTAAAAAACCGGCAGCTGTGGTTGCCGGAATTTTACCATAAAAAATACGGTAGCAACATTTTAAAACTTAAATTTACAGTTAAATACTGTAATTTCATTAACTGATATAATGTTAATATACCAACCTTATTGAAGTACTGAAATCTGTTTTGTACCTTTGTAATACACTGATAACCACCAAATGCAGGTGGTGATGAGAAAGTCACATGATGAACCAAAGCCCATCACAAGCAGCTTTTAAATAATAACATATATAGAAGGTGCACAGTGTCATTCACACAAACGTTAAACACCATCATGGCAACACACATGAAACTAAAATAATGTAATAAACATTCATTTAACAACATTGGGTGTAACACACAACCCTGATATACAAAACTGATCAGAAAAAACTGAGAAGAAACGTAGTTATTTAAACAAAAAAACATCAAATTTTAAATGTAATGCAGGGAATTCTGGGAATGTCAATTTACGTCTTTTCACTTCCAAAAACTGTATACTACCGTAAAATTAATGTCCGATACATGTAATGTCCAATACAGTTTTTCACCATATATAGTAGGGGAATTTACCGTTAACCATTTAACAGGTTTTTACTGTAGCATTTTTACAGTCTTTTACCATTAAATTCACGGTCATTTTTTACAGTGTAGCATTGACCTTGGCTCGTTACATTGAGCTGAATTTCTCTTTTGTTGGCAAATAGCAAGATAAAAGGATGAGTGTGGTTACTCATCCCTCTGACGCAATGTTTGCTTTCCTGCTGAGCTCTGTGAATGTGTTTGATTCTAAAACACTGGCTCAATTGCCCTGCCGGGCCAGAATTTGTGCTCTCATTGGGGACTAAATTATTTACAAGGGGGTGTTTGGCTTTGAAATGGACACATAGATTGGGTTAGTGTACTGCTGTTACAGCAGGGCTGTATTATGACATTTTGAGCCGTACCATGTAAAGAAATGTACTAAAAGTTTTTTTTTCTATTGATTTGTACATGTAATCAATATGCACTTTGTTAAACCTATTATTTAAAGAAAATGTGCTCATGTGCATATTCACAGAAACTGTATTCAGTAGATGTTAACCTTTCTGTTGATTATCATTTTGCAACTGCATGCAGTATTAACAAAGAGA